CTCATGATTCCGCTCTGGAAATACTGTTGTGCCTGTAATGGCGTGAATAGCGTGGCACTGCATGAGGTCCTGGGGATCTCAGTGTGTGGCGTGGACTGAAGTACCTCTCTGCGATGGTATTAAACTTGGTCACCCAGTCAAAGAGCCACCCACTTTATTTAGTATATAGGTTACTCTTTCCTCCTGGCACTTAGCATTCTGGGAGAAGATCATGTGTACAATCAAGCTTCTGTAAATTCAGCATCCATTCATGATTTTTATGTAAATCAGTCCTTATTAAATAATTTCAAATTTTTATTATCTAATCCCACCACTCCTCATGTTTGTTGGCTTTTCCGCATTCTTTTTTCTTCCTCTTCTTCATTAATTGGTCTTTTTTGCTATCAGATATAGACATTCCTGTTTTACTTAGTGGATAATAATTTGCTGCGGTGTGTTTACTGTGACACTCGACTTTCCCTCATCCTGCCTGTGGGAGCCGTTGAGGCTGGCTCGTGTGCTCTTTTGCACATCTCGTCATCTCACGGGCGTGGTACCTTTGGGCACAACAGAATGTTCACAGCTCCTCTTGTTCCTCTCCTGCCTGCCTGCTGGACTTGCTTGTTTCTTCAAGATGCCTCTGTTTCTTTCAGTGAGCAACGGTTTGGTTCTGGAATGGTTTGGGACAACGGGAGCCTTGGCTTCTAGTTGCTACGAAAGAAAAAAGCTAAGAGATGTGTGTGCGGGATTGTGTATGTGTGTGTAGCTTCTGAGCACTGCAAGTTAATACTGATAGTCCAGCTCCAAACCAGACTCCAGGGGGTTCTTTCCTGCCTTTCCTTTCCCATGTTTGCCTACCCTGCCACAGAGAAGTGAGTAACTTTCAAAATACCAACTCACTTAGCCTTGTACTGTGCATAAAGTTGACTCAACCACTGTCCCCCTCTCCCTAAAAACACATTTGCCAAAAGGAGCGCAGTGTTCCTTGGCCTTTTTGCCCCCTTGCCAGCATGGTATAGTCAAGGACGGTCTTCTAGATTGGCAGCACAGAGTCAAAGAACAGCATCCCTTATACTGGGTTGTTTCTCTGCCTCTGTTCTCTGAGTTATTATCTTATTTGAAATACAATTGGATTCACATTTCCATCTCCAGTTTTTAAATTCTTGTTCATTTTTAAATGTGTAGAACATTAACATACACCTTGGCGGTCCCAGCTGTATAACAAGGTGAACTCCGAGAGGCCTCGCCTTTTCCCATGTGCTGTCCACCTGCTCCTTACCACATCACTTT